AAAGGAAATTTTTAAATGTTAAAAAAGAAAGAAAAGCCTGCAAATAGATCAAGATATGATTTTTAACCTCTAGGCGTGTCCTCCAGTCAAGTCTGATGGGGTGCCATGCTCTGGCCCCAAAGTCTATCCTTTGCACTTCCTCGGGAGCTCCCTGCTCTGCTCCCCCCATTGGTCTGCCGCATGCCTTTAGTGTTTTGCCTCGGTGTCGTGGAGTGTCTGGGACAATCCCAACACTGAGTCTCCAGTATTGTCCCCCGTAGGTCCATGGGTCAGCAAGGGACATCGTGTCTCATGGTGGGATCAGCCATATGGTCCACTCTGTGCATTGGCTGTTCGGAGCAGGGATATTGTCCTCCAGGCCTGGTGGGCCAGGATATGCTCCACTCTCTCTTCCTCCCCATTTATTTGCTCCCATGTGCTCTGATCAGACATGTCCCTCTCCCCAAGCTGCAGCTTGAGTTCCGTCCTCTAAAGTAAATTCTTCTGGGGGGAGGGGCAGTTGTCCACGTAGCTGGTATGGGGGCCGAGCTCCTTTCTGGTTTTTAAAGAAATATACTGTATATATTTAGACAGCCCATTTCCAGAAATGAAATCAACAATATCCTATTAAGCCCTCCCTATATGTGGTTTTGTATGTTTTATACACTTCAAGAATTCATTTAACTCTTACAAAACATCTGTGAGGTAGACACTGTTGGCTCCATCTTACAAATGAGGAGGCAGAAGCAAAATGAGACCTGTCCAAGGCTTTTTCTCTGCAGGAGAAAAGAAGTCCAGGCAGACAGCTTGCAGAAGCAATGCTCTTAATGTCTGTGCTCACCTGGGATCCCCTGGGACCGGTTAACAAACGTGGTAGAGAATCAAAAGGAAAGGACTGCTTGGCCTGCAACTCTATGCTCACTTTTGCATGAGTTAACGGGCATCCATGCCAACCTCACACATCTTGTTGAGGTTGGCCCTCAACATGTACAGGCAGAGTAATGTCCGCAGTCACGCAGCAGCAGGGCAAGTTGAGGTTCAAAGTCAGATCTGCCTAGAGGGCTCCCATACACAAGTTCCTTTCCTCCTCTCTGAGTCAAGCTTATGGAAGTTGCATCTGGCTTCTGACTGCACCACTGGAAGCAAGGAGAGACGTTCTACAAGGGCCAGAAATCTGAATTTGGCCAGGAGGCAGGAAAAACGCATCTCCTAGCTTTCCCAGTCACTTCAAGAAGAGGCGAGACCCAGAGTAGGCAAGGAAATGGTTCGTCCTAAATATGCTTATTTGCAGATATGAGAATAACATTGTTCCATAAAATCCAGAGATAATAGAGGGGCAATATGACAATTGTCAACATTTTTGAAAGAGACGATGTTTCCAAAGATACAGGGTAACCTTGAAAAGGATGTCTCTTCCTGGAGGGTTTGTCCAGCTGGAGGAGTAACAGAAACCACAACCACCGAAGAGATCACATGGACATAGAAGGCCGTCAGGAAGCTACTCGAATGGCAGTGAGAGCGGCACAGTGGTGAAGAGCTTCAATAGTGATTCTGGTCAGCTATAAAATCAAGCACTGATCTGAGGCAAATGACCCTCAAAACCCCAGTTACCTGGTACTAAGCTGAATAGCAAAGCATAATTCCTATTTCCGAGAAAATAAGCTACAGTAACAACAAAATATTCCAATAGTTCAATGAATTCAACATCAAGTGCATAAAACAAAGGGGGAAAAATACAGGGAGGGTTTAATAGGATATTGTTTGGTTCCTTGAGATGGGCTGTGTAAATTTTTAAAATTTTATTTTATTGGGGGCTCGTATCACAATCCATGCACATACCCATTGTGTCAAACACATCTGCACATGTCATCTTTTTCAAAACATTTTTCTACTTGAGCCCTTAGTGTCAGCTCATTTTCCCCCATGTCCCCTTGATCATTCACAATTTTTCATGTCTTACACTGACCAGTCTCCCTTCACCCACTTTTCTGCTGTCCATCCCCCTAGGAGGGGGGTATATGTAGATTATTGTGATTGGTTCCCCCTATCTCCCCTCCATCCTTGCCTATACCCCCCTCCCCCCACCTTCCCTTACCCTAGTATTGCTACTCTCCTTATTGGTCCTGAGGGGTTTATCTGCTCTGGATTCCCTGTATTTTGAGCTCTTAACCATGTTCTGGTCTAGCCAGATTTGTAAGATAGAATTGGGGTCATAATAGTGTGGGGGGGCGGGGGGAGGAGAAGGATTAAAGAACTAGAGAAAAGTTGTGTGTTTCATCAGTGCGGTATCATATTGCACCCTGATTGACTCATCTCTTCCTTGTGGCCCTTCTGAGAGGGGGTGTCCAATTGACTACTGATGGGCTTCGGGTCTCCACTCTGCCCTCCCCCTCATTCCCATTGGTATGATGTTTTGTCTTTGGTGCCTGATACCTGATGATCACACAGGCTGGTGTGCTTCTTCCATGTGGGCTGTGTTGCTAGATGGCCACTTGTTTATCTTCAAGTCTTTAAGACCCCAGACACTATATCTTTTGATAGCCAGGCACCATCAGCTTTCTTCACCACATTTGCTTATTCACCTGCTTTGTCTTCAGCAGGTAAGGTGAGCATCACAGAGTGCTGTTAGTAGAACAAAGTGTCCTTGCATTGAGGGCGTACTTGAGGGGAGGCCCAATGTCTACTTGCTGCCATAATTTATAAACATACGTACATAGATCTATTCCCCTATTATATATAAATGTATTTACATATATAGATGCCTGTATTTAGACCTCTATAAATGTCCTTTGACTCCCAGTTCTTTCTTCTATTTCTTTTTACTTTCCTCTTGTCCCACTATCATGTTCAGCCTTCGTTCGGGTTTTGCTAATTCCTTTCGGCTACATTGCCCATGATTGAGCCCCACCCCCACCCCCCAAGCACCGTCTGCCCTCCTCACCATCAATTTTAGATGACCTGTTCTTCCCTTGTCCATGGGTTTGTTGGCACCCCCCTCCTTTTCCACCACTTCCCCCTCTCCCGTGCACCCCCCAATCGTCAGTCCCATGATTCTCTCCTCCAGATTGTTCATCCCGCCTATCTTGTCCAGATAGACAAGCATAGACAATAACACACAAAACAAAATAAATAAGATTAATACAACAAAACTAAAACATAAAAAACCAACAGCAAACAAGAAGAGCCCTCAAACAGTTCAAGATGTGTCCATGGACCTTTAGGTGTTTTCTGAGTCCACTGGGTGCCACACCCTGGCCCCAAAGACCACCTTTGGCATTCAAGGACTTCGCTACTTTGCTCCCCTTGCTGCTCTGCTGTAATGTCCTTAGTATTTCACCCCAGTGTGGTGGGGTAAGATTGGGCACATCTCCCTCACTGTGTTCCCAGTGCTGTCCCCTGAGCAATATTTATCAGTGAGGGACGTCGTGTCTCATGGTGGGGCCAGCCATGTAATCCTCTCTGTGCATTGGCTGCTCTGAGCCAGAATATTGTCCTCGGGAGTTGGTGGGCCTGGGGTATATTCCACTTTCTCTCCTTCCCTCTTCATTTACTCCTGATCAGACACACCCCTCTTCCTGAGCTGCAGGGCTGTGTAAATGATATATAGTCTGTTTCTTTAAAAACCAGAAAGACAAATCCCATGACACTGAGTAGATGGTGTTTTGTTTTGTTTTGTTTTGTTTATAGAAGGCAAAGTAGACATTATGAGACACTGCCGTAAGTAATATTCCATATAGTTTGATAACAATAGATTTATTTGGGAAACACAATCATATTTCTTTGCTTGACAAAGTTAAATCTTCAGCACAGTGGAGCTTTTGTTAAAACGAGTGACCGCTGCTACTTCCACGTGTCATCTGTATACAATTCTCAATGAGTGCTTCACATGGGCAGGGTGTCCATTAGTCAATGGGACTAAGGCGATGGTCATTTCCTATCACACTGAAGACAAAAAGTCACAGAAAAACAGGCCAAGAAATGCCCACTGCTAGAGGGCGTTGCTGGTTGACTTGCATGCCGTGGTCTTTAAATGACTTAATGGTTCTTCACCTCAGTCCCTAATGTAGCCAACTTCATTTCTGTGCAGACTATGAATAAGTAGGTCTTCCAACCCAATAATCACCTTTGAGACAACTCTTTTGACAACTGAGATGTAGGTAATGACTTCATATGACCCTTCGCACCATTGTTGCCTTGTGATTTATTATAGGCTTCACACCTGTGGTGATGATCCCATTTTAGAGTATCTTGTTATACTAATTAGGCAGGATTGAGGTGGGATATATTTTAAGACCCCATTTTAGTAGAGGATGTAACTTAAAGCAGGGGGAGGGAGGGGGTTTCTGCAGAAGACAAAAACCACACCTCCACTGAATTCCTTTGTGTCTGTGACTCCCTTTCCCAACTGGGCATGTGCAGAAGCAAGGGAGGCCTCTTTTCACTCTTGGACTTTCCCATCACTGGCTCTGGATCCTGCATCTGGCTGGCCTCTGCCTGACCTCTGATGAGCTGCGGCAGCTTATCCCCTGATTCCACCACCTTCCAAAGCCTTTTGGGTGAAACAGGCAGACATGTAAACTTCAGATTTGGGACTTAGTTGCACCCATGTCCACGTGGGCCATTTCCTGAATGCTTCCCAGGTTCTGTGAGAAGATGCAGCCGATTGCAGACCCCTGGGACAAGAGGGTACGTACGAAGGGGAGGAGCGGTGGTGGATCCTGGGGTAGCGTTGTGGGAAAGTTGGCTGTGTGGGAAGTCTCTCATCGGGAGTAGTCTTGTGCTAATCTTTCTAGGTGACTATGTTTGCCACAGTGAGCATACAGTTTTTAATGCATTACTTTAAAACATTGGTGTTTTGTATACTCTATAATGTGATTTTTAAAACAATCTCAGTATCCTGTCATAAATTAAGACTATAAGGGGATTTCCTCATCACGACTCTATTGCACTAATGCCCAGCCGCAGCCTGTGCTCTGCGGTTCACCACCAGAGTCTGTAAAAGTGTAACTTTGAGTCTTTGTTAGGGTCAGCCAGCTGACAGTCGCTCTTCTTTCCCGGTCCACAAGGAAATAACAGGTCCGTATTTTTTGGTAAGTGCTGCTCCAAATGGTCAGGGGCCTCCTCCACATTGTCTCTGGATGAGGACACCTGAAACTTGTCTTTAGCACAGGGATTTTAGTTAAATCGTATCCAGTGGTCATCATTTTCTTTCCTGCAACAGAGCAAGAAAAAATGCTTTTACGTCTTTGAGCAAGGAGGGTGTAAGAGGCCCGGTAAACCTTGATCAAGGGCAATGCAACCGAGAGGAATTACTGAAACCCAAATGAAGGCTGAGCATGATAGTGGGACAAGAGGAAAGTAAAAGGAAATAGAGGAAAG